TTTTTATTTATTAACCAGTATATTTACTTATTTTCGTCTACCAGCCTGAATATTCAAGACAACATACTAAAGATAAATATGTTGGCTCCTGCAAGATTCGAACCTAGTGGAACATTTCAGTGATTATTTCTATGACGCTGACAGTATTTTAAATGGGGCATTGGGAAGTCTTCGGAGAGCAACCTGATTATATGCATGTCTTGTCTTAGAATGCCGCACGAGTCCTCTGGCAGAACTACACACGTTTTTATAAATGCTGCAAAAATGTCTTGCTGGACATCCTGTTGTAGATAAGGGCGTAACTGTTTTCACGTTTTTGGTTGAGAAAGCAGAAATGACTATATTTATATATTTATCACACGACAGAGACACATTAGTGTTCTCTTGGGAAAGTAATTAACGTCTTTCATAAATCTTCAACACTAACACCAATCGTATCTATCCACACCCACCCACCGTCTGATGCAGGACGTTGAGAAGTATTAGTATCTATTTTGACCTTTTACTTAGCTCCTTAACGTTGTCCTTGAAGTGTTTACGTGGATACCCATTTTGTTACAAATGCATCATTGAAGTTCTTTTGAGGTTTCCTGTTGGGTGTTTCTCTGTCCACAGTTGTAAGTGAAGAGGCTTGCTCTCGAGAAGCAGGAACATCCACATTCATTACCCGAGAAAGACTACATTGTGCCTCTCTCGCGAAGAGAACGGACATCTTTCATAAGTTTGCCATCTCCTTACAAATCTTCTTAAGCAACTCTGCTATTCTCAAAGTATTCAACACAAACAGCATTCAAATTTCGCCAACAAAGATGCTTCATATGTATTAGTAACTGCGTTGACTATTTTTAGTGTGTTTTTAAGGATGACCTTGAAGCGTTTGCCGTGCTTGCAAGGGGTACTCTTCCAATGAGTTCTATTCTCTCTCTCTCTCTCTCTCTCTCTCTCTCTATATATATATATATATATATATATATATATATATATGATGTTTGCCCAATCGCTGAACAAGGGTAACCACCAAAAGGATGAGCTAGTTCTCTCACTCTCAAGATGTAAGATTATTGGTAATCTTTCAAATCATTTTAAATTTGTGTGAACACCAACCATCAAAAAGCCTTGGACATGAACCAGTAAAGATTATTGGAGACGGTTTTTGCCACATACGATTCGATTAGTCTGATTCGAGTTGAAAGATAGAGTGGTTAATACCAGCATCATTGAGATGATATGATCTGTAGCATTACTTACTGTACAAGGTGTTACCTAGCGATCTGAACTGGACTAAACTTAACGGAGAAGATGGAAATTTGATAGGAGTTTATGCCTTCTGCTCTGACAACCTCCATGATGACAAGAAACTTGTTAAGCAAGTATGAAATTGTGCTCAATATTTTAGTTCTTGTGATAACGACAATCACTCGTAAAGCCAGCAAGTTTCTTTCATAAATTTATTGCATATGTAGTAAACTAATTCTGTTGAAAGTCCTGAAGTGATGCGCTTTGTGGTATCTTGTATGATTATCTGTGATTATGTAGAGCCAGTAGACAAGGTTTTAAAAAGGATGATCCACAGACTCTCAAAGCCATAGATCTGAGAAAGCAATTCTATAGAGATGATTAATGTAGATATTCCTCAGCGTTTTTGGCGCCATGCATGACAACCAAATGAAATTCTCGACCTGACGTAGCTATTTAACGACATGACACGCGTTTTCAGGCAGACACTTTTTTTTTTTAGGAATTTTTTATGTTGAGCAAAACTACCTCTGTTACTGCCTAGTTTAGTTTTCTTTAATTTTTATAACTGCTCCAAATACCGAACTATTTGAAGTATTTATCCGTTACTGATTCTACATCCTGAATCTCTATGATGGATTCAGGGAACTTCCCAGCAGTTATCATTTCACTTCCAGATCATAGTTTCTGTTTTGGAAAGGTTTGTATTGAGTCCTAATTATTGAATACTTGGTTGATGATATTAATTTGTATCCTTGTCTCGCTCTCACATACAACAAGACATATATGCATAGATACGTAAAACATTACATACATGTCTGTCGTTATGTTTTCGACGGTATTATTAATACAGTAATAAATTTTAGATGACACAAGTCGGACTATCCGTTAGCAATATTACCTAGACTTTTTGAATTTAAGTTCCGTACTAGATTAGTGTCATGGTTCCATCAGTTCAGAGTTGAATTGGCTAGGTGGTACCGTTAGTTCTATGCTAACAGTTTCTTTTCTCGCACTTGTGAAACATTGTTATGACTCTAGCAATTCCAGCCCACTATGATCATCAGAAGTCTAGAAGCGATGCCAGTCGTTATATACTGTCTTCCTGTTTATTCTTGTTGTTCTCTTTCTTTCATCGTTCTGTTTTCTAATTCGTCCACAGTCAGTAACCTATTGTGATGTAGCGGCTTTAATGCCTTCCATGGGGTGAATTTGATTTAAAGAAAACATATGTTTAAACATCATATAGGTAAGAAAAATCGTTGACAGAATTTTTATGTGAGCGCGTGCATGTGTGTGTGTGTGTGTGCGCGCGCATGTGCATAGACACCGATACATAATACTCATTAGTCATTCTCACAAGGAAGGAACTTATATGCGCACAGGTTTTACAGAAATGAAAGGCGAAACAAAGGTTTAGGTAATAACATCAAATTGTACATCAACATAGAGAAGAGTAAACACATTTCTAGCTGCAGGTACATACGTATGCGTGTACATATTTATATGTATATACACATTATGCGTGTACATGTGCACATGTACATATATATGCGTGTATATATGCGTATATGTATGTCGCCTGAAGAAGTACAACCATAGTATTGAAACATGAAAGATTTGTGTAGCGATTTCAGCATGTTGAAGGATAAGAGTCCATCTAAACATATGTCCACAAATCCTTATTTTTGTGTCAATAACTTTTCAGTTCCAAGTTTACGGTAGACGGTGTTAAATGTACAATCCAAGATACAATCTAAAAATAATTTTACATACTTTCGGGGTGGGCTCCTGACACCAAAAACAAGTACAAATGCCCATAGGTCTGGAAACGCAATCTGATAGGGCTGTGCAGTCCGGAGTCCATTTACCTTTCGTGCGTCGTATATATATATATATATATATATATATATATATATATATATATATATATATATATATATATATATATATATATATATAAAACAAACATTTTGCCTGTTCACGATATGAATATCCTGCCATTGTTAAACGGAACACTTAACTGAATACTACATACGACAAACGCTGAAGACAGACTAGCCGCAAATGTACACGACTGACAAATATAAGCTAGTCTAGGTGGCAACACAGCACAATCTAGCGAAACTTTCTTTAAACTTAATTGCTAGAAAACGAAGGATTTGTGGTCATATGACTTTATGGACTTTTGCCATTGTCTACGCTGAGTAAACCGACTTACAATGTTTGTAAATATATATATATATATATATATATATATATATATATATATATATATATATATATATATATATATGTACATAATATTACATGTACATATAAATTATGCATGTAGATATTCATATATATATATATATATATATATGCGTGTACATAATATTACATGTACATATAAATTATGCATGTAGATATTCAAATATATATA